AATTGTAAGTGAACATTTTATAGTATTACCTAACAGAGGTTGCCTGCTTAATTAGCAATAACAAACAAGGAATAACAAATAAGTATTTAGAAATAAGTATTAACAAATAAGAATTAACAAATAACAAATAAGTATTAACAAATAAGTTATAACAAATAAGAATAAACAAATAACAAATAACAAATAACAAATAACAAAAATGGACTTTTAATAGTTTCCAGACAATTGAATACTCGCTGGTACTTCACAACGGAGCATAAACACAAAAGGATGAATATGAAAAGAATACTTGATTAGAAAATCAATAACAATATTAATGATATAATAAATAATCATTATAATATAATATATTAGTAATAATAATAAGTAATAACAAATATGTAATAACAAATAAGGAATAACAAATAAGTAATAATAAATAAATGCTAACAAATAAGTGGTAACTAAAAATATCCCCCCAGAGCTTCCGTACTTAAGGGAGCTTTTCTTTCCGCCCTTAATACGAGAGGAGCAACACACACGAACACGTTACTTACGGCGGTAACATAATGACTGCAACAATGGATCGGTGTGTGCCATTGTAGTGAATTTGTTGGAAATTGTTTATGTTGTCGCGAGCGATATATAGAGAATAGTACATGGTGAAATCCATATCACATGCTATATCAGCCCGGGGACCCAATATTAGACCGAGGGCTTTAGTACCAAGTATATGATAAATTCACAGGTGTTTGCACGTAGATCTGTTCATCAAGCATTCTGTAGAGCCAACGTAGAGCATGCAAGTTACATATATGACCAAATCCGTTCCGTCATCAGTTACGTATGTTTTTTACTGCAACAAAAAGATATTTGATATACACAATTACAGTTGTATTGGTGTGTTATTTCTAAGACAGAGAACAAAAACCAGCGTTATTTCTCAGACAGAGAACAAAAAATTAATAAACACTCCAGCAGGAAAGCATGTTTTTTTTAAAGTTTATAAGATTGATATATTTTTTCTTAAAGATGATAGCAGTTACAATTCGATTTCATATCGACAAAATACATTTTTTTTTATCTAATTAAGGAAAACAAATAAGTACATACAATTAAAACCGCGGTGGCCAAGAGGTTAAGGCGTCTAACATTCTGCTACCACTAGCCCTCCACCACTGGTTCGCGGGTTCCAGGCCTACGTGGGCCAGTCGTCAGGTACTGGCTGAAGGCCGGTGGTTTTTCTCCGGGAACTCCGGCTTTCTTCCACCAACAAAACATGGCACGTCCTTGAACGACTATAGCTGTTAATAGGATGTAAAACACAAACAATCTATAAAAACATAAACAAAACAGTTAAAACCTTGCATTGACGTTTTGTTGGTGGTTTTAAAATATCTTTAATATTTTACTACACTTTATCTTTATCAATATAAATACATTATGTAAGACATTTTTCATAGTAAATTTTGCTTTAATAGACGTCCTCTGCCGGTAAGCTTAACAGCTTGATATAACTAGAATAAAACAAGCAAAACGTGATTATCTTGCTTAAGGTATGCTTCAATGCCCAAACAACAATATGTGGAAGACACAAGATATGTGGAAAAGGATTAAAGATTTCTTACCATCATCCAAATCAAATTGTGCCTCTAGTCTCAATTTAAATGTCCTTGGTGTAAGAATCATTTTACTAAAGTGATGCGCAGTGGGCAGACCTCGCAGGAAGGGACCTTCCTAACTCTTGGAAAGCTCTATTGTGCCTCACTGAACTATTATCTCATACCGGTAATATTATATATGCTTTGTTTATTTATTTTGTTTCCATGTAAGTGATGTTATGTAAAATTTTAAAGTGGTTTGTTGTACAATGTATATATGTGACATAACAATGTGATACTAATGCTAACGTCACCACCAAACTTTATGACATTTTCAACAATTTGTTACTAATGATTACGTCACCACTAAACATTATAACATTTACCTACAATGTGATACTGCCGATTACGTCACCACCAAACATGATAACATTTACCTACAATGTGATACTAATCATTACGTCACCACCAAACATTATAACATTTTCAACAATGTGATACTAATGAATACGTCACCACCAGTCATTATAACATTGACCTACAATGTGATACTAATAATTACGTCACCACCAACCATTATAACATTGACCTACAATGTGATACTAATGATTATGTCACCACCAAACATTATAACATTTACTTACAATGTGATACTAATGAATCTAACAATTTGTTATTTACATACAACGGGATATTTCAACAAGGCACTATGACATTCACCCATTATGTAACATTTATGATTCCTACCAAACAATCTTAAAGCAGGACAATTACAATTTCAGGATTATTAACTTTTTGATTGTTTTAAGAAAGATATCACCTGCCCTTATAATGTATTTAAAGAGTTTAACAGGATTTTAACAAACAACACAATTTATGTGTTACTCTAGACCTGCCCTTAGTAGCAGGATGGAGTGAGATAATGCGTGTTGTTGACTTGAAGTATTCCTACGTATGTATGTAATTGAAACATAGCCCTTTCTTTTAATAACGATCAATCTTGTCACATTACACATCTTCCATACCGCAGTTGAATCTACGACGTTACACATCTACTTATACCAGGAAAACACGTCCTCGTTATCAATATCACTATGGAGCAAACCACAACACACTTCCTCGTTATCAATATCCCAATAGAACATACCACAACACTCTTCCTCATTATCAATATCACAATGGAACATACCACAACCCACTTCCTCGTTATCAATATCACAATGGAACATACCTAAACACACTTCCTCGTTATCAATATCACAATGGAACATACCACAACACACTTCCTCGTTATCAATATCACAATGAAACAAACCACAACACACGTCCTCGTTAGCAATATCACAATCGAACTTACTACGACACACTTCGTCAATAGTACAATCAGTCACAGGGGTAATAGGCAGCTCTCGCGCTGGTTGCCATGGAGACTTAGGAAATCGTCCAAAAAGTAGAAACGAATCACCAAATGTGAAATACAAATTGATATGTTATTTTTCTTTCTTTTCCGATATTGTTAAACTACATGCTGTATGCATTGTGAAAAAGTATGAAACCATTAACTTAAATTTGTATAATACTGATATGAATAAAACGTTATTTAGCGAGTAGCATATCTGAACATCACAATCTATGTCATATTGCAATAGGACCTTTTTTATCCGGAAAGACATAATCAGGAAATCTTCAGAACCGGAAACTTCCGAAGATTACCAGATTGTATATTTGTCAAAATAAGAATGATAATGTCAATGTAAAAAACAGTTCCCTGTTTAGAGGAGACGGCAGAAACCATCCCTGATTGCGGTGAGGGTCCCACATAATTCGTCTCCTCCGACATGTTGCGGGATACTTTTTTTCTCCGAACCTGCACAGGTCCTCAGTATATAAAATCATAAAGTCATTTTAATCATATTTGCGGTTCATTACATTCCAGATAAAATCCAAATACAACGGAAAATGTTTTGTTTCCATTTTTTATTACGAGTATGTTTTTACAGAAATTTGATTTACCTTACTAGTCATAGCAGAAACCACACTCAAATTGTTTATGTCGAAGTCATTTTCTTAATACCGACGACTACAAAAACGGGTCCAATCGGTTTTTTAGCAACGTTATTTTTATGTGAGGGTTTTTGACTAGTCATGTACATGAAGTATGATCACTTGTTTCATTTCAGTGAGTTCTACCAAATGGTGCACGAATTTCAATTATCACTGATGTAGAATATGTGACATAGGTTAATAAGCCAATTCTATCTTCAGACTCTACGGATTGGTCGAGTGATTATCACTCCGGCCTTCCATTCAGGCTGCCGGGGTTCGATCCCAGAAGTTGTCGTACGCATGAAATATTCAGAGAAAGTGTGTTTCTCATGCCCTCAAAACCCCGACAACCGAGGTGGAGTATAAAATGATCTGGGGTGGATGTTGCGGTATCTGTGCGGTAGCATTCAAGTGAGGTGGCACTACTGTTGGAAGCACGGTCCCACTACAAACAGAACACAATAAATCTCCAGCGCACACGCAGACATACACACATAGGGAGATATTAGCCAGGTGGCATATGACTAGTAGTTAGCGCCTGATAAGGCAGCTCCCTGCAAATTCCTCAAAATTGTATTAATTTATGTATATTCTAATTGGTTTGATTGTATGAATTGTATACCTATGTACTGTAAAGCGCTTTATAGTGGCTTATTCTAGCTAGATATGGAGCTTTACCAAATGTTGTATACTATTATACTGTTATTATGTTATACATTTGTAATAGAACGTGTAGATATGAAATAAATGCAACATCATACATATACATGCTTTAACTATGATGTTGTAGATAACACTCATATATTGTGCGGACGTACATTCTATTCGCTTCATGCACTCGTTAGTGAATTCATCCGCTCAAACACTCTTGTTATCTGCGAGGCAAGATAAAAATCGTGTGTTGTATTGCATAATAAACAGGTTTAACAGCTGAAATAATATAAATGTAACACATTTTTTTTTCAATTGTTTGAATATTTTCACAGGTTTATTTTTAAATGCTGACCCATTTTTAGTTTTAATATGCGAACTAATCGTTGGATTTGATCTGTTAACAAATTGATTAATTAAAACCATCATGTAATGCTGATCTGTGGAATATTTGAGTTTATAAGTATTGATTGTCTTGATATATTAAACATTGATCAAATATGTGACACATTGTGTGTTTGAATATTTTAAGCAATGTTGGTTTTGATATAACACTTTGCTTCAATGTAAACACAGTGGTTTAATATTTTAATCCATTGGTTGTTTAACAACACGCTGTGTAATAGTTTTTTTAATCCAAATGAAGAAAAATGTTTTAGTAAGTCAGAGTATTAAAGAAACATTTTTTTATGATTTTTAATTAGTGTTTTTTTTCCACTGTAGTTAATGTGGCGTTTCATAAACCAGCCTGGCTCTCATCAGCTTGGATTCGAAGATCAAAGGCTGAAAATGTTGTGGATGGAACTAAATACAGAGATAGGGATACATTTTTTGACAGATGTGTTCACACCAGAGTTGAAAATTTCCCTCGCTGGTGGGTGAACCTCACTGGCGATTACACCATAGCAAGGATCGACATTGACTATAGACGTGGTAGGTACGATATACTTTGTACAAGTATTTACCTTATTTTAGATCGAAACAGTTATGACTTTGACTGACCATGAATTAAATATCGTCTGTTCGGAAATCATTGTATTGTATTAACGAGAGTTCTTTGTATATATAGAATATAGGCTCTCCCAGCATCCAAATTCTAGTTCTGGTTAGTCTACATGTATGTATGTATATATATCTAATATAGAAACATAAACTCAAGCTCAGCATAATGTGAATTCCGCAGATGGATTGAAAACTTTACACTTTAAGGATGTACACTTCTAAGAAGTAATAATAATTCAGTTTTATTCTTATATGCATTTTTGGAAAACGGAGCTCATGGCATAGTTGAAATTGCATAATATATATATATATATATATGTCCGTGTGTTCGTCTTTGTGCTATGATCGGCTTAAGATATCAATTTATCATAATATGTAATTTTAGGTGATTGTATTGGTTTTGCCCATTAACAGAACAATTTTACAAAGTGTTTCTCTTTCTAAAACAGCCATAAAATAGGGGTGGGATCCGTGTGCTTCTTTTTCTTGTTTTTGTTCCATTACTATTTGTGTTATTTTCTCCATTTAGGGGGTCACAAATCAAAAGTCAAATGTGCTTCAATCTCACTAAATATGAAAAAAAAATATCAATATGTATAATTACGAACTTAGTTCATATTATTTTTATCATACTGAACATTATAACGTTGTACAGCAAAAATGAACTTGTTACAGTTAAAAATGGCGACAAATTGACGTTCGAGTGTATCTAGTGTCAAAAAGGTGAAATGTTGCCCTTTCGTGAAGTGCAATAAATTCACATTTTCAAAATGGCTACCGAATTGGTAATTTGTTTCATGTAAAAGTGTTCTACAAACAACAGTCATCCTGTTTTTGACACATTTTTCAGATGCGTGTTCGATCATGATTTCTTAAATATTATAAAAACACGTTACAGGAGAACAAAACGAGACTTGAACGTGATTAAAACCTCAGAAGAGTACATCCAAGAGCGATTCATTCATTGTGTTATTGTAGAACCTAAAGCGAACATAGGGAACTTTCCTTTTGGTTTGTTATCTTTCAGGTGACAGAAATGTGTGTGTTTATGAATTTCTGAACATGAAATATCCATACTGAGTTTGAATATCAGCATGACAACTATAATCCTTTTGGGTAAGTTTCTAATTACATCATTTTGCTTTGTTCGGTACAGGATCGAGCTACAGAATGTTTGGTTACAAACTGATTGTATCAGACACAGAAGATAGACGCCGGTGGAACTCGAATCACCAGATAGAAGGCCACATATGTCGTGACGAGACTAGAAGAAACCCACCTCTTCAGCAGTCGGTCCCATGTCTAGCCAGAGGACGTTTCATAACATACGCTGATAATGTAGACAATGGCGATTATAATCCTTATGTAGAGCTGTGCGAGCTAGAGGCATATGGTAAACAGAGGACATTGAAATTAGAATTACCGTATAACGGGTTATTTTCGTGGGTTTAAATTTTCGCAATTTTGACCCTAAAATCAGGAAATTTATTGACGCGGATTATAACTTACGTAGAGTATACTCCATAAATATGATTCTAATGTCAATTTATCATTAGCCCATGTATATGTTTACCTGTTTGCCTGTACAAGTTACCCGTGGCGAATACAATCGGCAATCCGAGTTTTTACGAGGTACCCCGTTTATCTAAAGCACAGCAACGGGACACTCGGCATATATACATGTAGTGTCGAATAGTCAAATGAAAAATTGTTATTACAGTATATTGTGCAAAACAAGTAATTGTATTTTGCTTAACAGACCTCTAACACAACTACTAGATGTACGTGATCTAAAAAAAATCAAACATTTTCTATTACTCTCGATGAATATGAATCGTGACAACCACCTGCTCGCTATTTCATAGCGACATTGTTACTATGAAGTTTATAATCGCGGCCAATTTTTGCGCTTGTCGTATTATTTTGCTGAATATAACTCATGACCCGGGAAATCTCTGCGAAAATATCCTGTTGTACGGTAGCATGAGTAAATTATTCCCTCCTTATTAACTTAATTGTACTTTAACATAAACACCGAATGATATCTAAAGCTTACAGCTTGTTGTACATGTACTTTGCAATAATATTATTCCAATTGTACTCGTCTCTAGACACAAAAAATACCTGATACATGGCCAGACTCGGCTGTTCCGATAGTAATACCCGATACATGGCCAGACTCGGCTGTTCCGATAGTAATACCCGATACATGGCCAGACTCGGCTGTTCCGATAGTAATACCCGATACATGGCCAGACTCGGCTGTTCCGATAGTAATACCCGATACATGGCCAGACTCGGCTGTTCCGATAGTAATACCCGATACATGGCCAGACTCGGCTGTTCCGATAGTAATACCCGATACATGGCCAGACTCGGCTGTTCCGATAGTAATACCCGATACATGGCCAGACTCGGCTGTTCCGATAGTAATACCCGATACATGGCCAGACTCGGCTGTTCCGATAGTAATACCCGATACATGGCCAGACTCGGCTGTTCCGATAGTAATACCCGATACATGGCCAGACTCGGCTGTTCCGATAGTAATACTTGATACATGGCCAGACTTGGCTGTTCCGATAGTAATGCCCGATACATGGCCAGACACTTAGCTGTTCTGATAGTAATACCTGATACATGGCCAGACTCGGCTGTTCCGATAGTAATACCCGATACATGGCCAGACACTTAGCTGTTCTGATAGTAATACCTGATACATGGCCAGACTCGGCTGTTCCGATAGTATCGTTATTCGTGTAAACCTACTCTTATCGGCTTGATATCGGCTTGTGTGCTGATATAATTATTTTTCAATTTTATTGATTACTGTAGTTAAATGAAAATAATCTTATGCATTGCAAAATTAGATATTATTTATATATACTTTGTATGTAATATGTATATACATTATACATGTAATTGATATAACTACTTAAGTAATAATGCTTGAAGTAAAAAAAAAAAAAAAAAACTCAGATCATAGTACAACGAGCCACAGAAATGTGCAACACTACTGCTCAATTGTACTGGATAACCTTTTGAAACAACGAAACTAATAAATATATCAGACGAACCGATAAGTTATCTAAAGCTTACAGCTTCACGATTTTTCACCTGTTTTATAAGGTTTGGACAGGACACTGTAAAAACCATTGTAAAAAAAGAAAGATAACTGAATTTAAAAATATCCCTATTATAACCAAAAATAAAAAATTTAAAAATATAACACAAAAATAAAACCACTGTAAAAAAAAGAAAGATAACTGAATTTAAAAATATCCCCATTATAACCAAAAATATTTTTTTTTAAATATAACACAAAAACAATATCTTATGATTTGAAATAGTAAGTGATAGAAAATAGTACTATACCTTTAAGACTAGGAATAAGCATAACCAAATTCATGGGTTATGCACAGTTAACGAATCACATAGTAGCGTGTCAAATATAACAAATACATGTCCATTCTTTAACTGTATGATAAACACTTATCTAATGTTCTTCCTAACACATACCATGTACTTGACTTGTATTGTATCTTTTAAAAAGGTTGTCCGACTGGATGGTTTGGACAGGACAACTGTTTGGAAAAGTGTCCGGATGGATGCCGGGATACAGTTTGTAATCCGGACAACGGCACATGTTTTGCTGGATGTGAAAGCGGCCTGCAGGGAGACATCTGTGATACAAGTGAATATCGCTAACAGTTAATGTAAATCATATAGGAAAAGGTGTACGAGATCGTCGTTACACATTACTCCTCAATTTTTATTTTGGTTATGGGGATTTACGATACGCACCTCGTCTTCTGTTTCCAAAAGACCGTACTATCTTGCGGATTGCCCGCTCCGTTATATTTCCTGTGATTGCCCACTCCGTTATATTTCCTGTGATTGCCCGCTCCGTGATATTTCCTGCGCCCCTTAAAATAGCATGTTTAGGAAATAAATTCAGCATATTTCACGCCCAGGAGTTTCCCGCGGACTATTTGCTACAGAAGATTTTTTTTTATGCAATGAATGTTAGGTTCATTGGCAACATCAGGTACATGTAGCTATCACATGTACTTATATGGCTATGTAACAATGTTAAAAATCGACGTTTTCGATATAGATTCATTTATGAGTTTGTAAACTTTAAACATATCCTTGATAAACTCACAATACCGTTCATTATTCTGATTTAAACAGGCAAGTCAACCCTTAGCAATCCAATAAATACTCCTCATAGACGATGTTACACAGTGCCAGATAGTATGACTAAAGTTTTAATGCATATTTTGGATGATAAAACTTGAGAATTTCCATAACTTTGTTGCGTTTTTATTTACAATTCAGATGTATACGATTTTGCATTTTGAAGAAACCATATAGCCCCCACTTTTTACAGATTTTTGGAATCATTTCGTCACACATGAAGGCAATACACAAGAAATTACGGTAGTCTTACCAGATTTGTAATTGGATTCCTACCTTAATGGTCCCTTTCATTACCGATGAGATGATGCTGTGTTAATCATTTTTGGCATGCTGTATCTATTACAAAATTTTAAAGCTTCAATAACATGTGTGTTACGTCCATATTTTGAAGTCTATGAAAGAAAACAACTGAAAGGACATCAGAACGAACGACAACATGACGACTTTCAAAACAAGAGACACATATGGCCTGTATTTCTCCTCTGTTATTTTGATATCTGAACGAGACAAGACGTTGAAATGGTTTTCTAACGAGACAACATGGTTTGAGAGCTTCATTGAGCATATCAGTTTTCTAATTTACTTAAAAATAAAAATATTAGCATTTAACGAAACAGGCATGAATATTTTTTAGACCATGGGATAATAATAAATGACGAGGAGGGGGTGTCATTTTGTTTCTGGAATACAACGAAAATAAACAGTATATGTTCAGGTCAATGAAAACAATTTTCATTTAAAAACTTTTCACCATTGACTTTTGATGACAGGAAATTGTAAAAAGTCGAAATAGTCTATGCCAATCGAGTCCTATGTATTGTATTTCCCTTTTTACTCGACTAAATAATAACTGTTAATGAAGTGTTGCATCTCCATCGAAAAAAACATTTGTTAATTGTTTTTTTCTGACTTTCTGAGTTGCTTTCGTTGTTTCATTAGCATTCTTTTATTAAGTCGAAAACTATTTTTGATAAAAATCAAACTCACCATGTGGATTCGACACTGACTTTTTGATTATATGCCAGAAAGGTTTATCTCCTGTGCTTCCTGTGATGAACGATGTTTTCCAGCTTTCAATTATCGTAATATTATCGTCAATAATTTTTGAAATGTTCTACCTCTTTATAAAAAGCCAACAACAAACATTCATTTTTGTATTGATATAGAGAAAGGAAATTACAATGAAAATAACTTTTCAGTGATTGTATACAGTAGAAAATGATGGAACTCTCTATTTAAGGAAACCTTATTGGCATTAGAGAGGAACGATACATTATTATGAAAATACATGTACTTCAAAATATATTCCATAGTGCCATTAATATCACTAAACACTTTTGTTTTGTTTTCAAACGCAATTGATTTCTGTTTTATAATCATGATTATATGAATGAATTAAATATTTTTTATAATACTTTCACCACATAGCATTATATTTACATGTATGTTTATTTACAGCATGCAACCATGGCAGCTTTGGTTTATGGTGTCAACAATTCTGTTTCTGTGATGTTGACACATGTGACCCTCAAAATGGAACGTGCCCTAGCGACAGATGTCAGCGGGGGTGGAACGGAACAGCATGTAACCAACGTGTGTATCCAGGGTATACAATTAGTGTTTAGCCCGGGGCGCTGTCCTATCATTTTTATTACTAAATATTTTACCAGATCTATTCGTTAAATATAAAAAATTCTGCCCACAAAGATGTTGAATAGATTATTGTAAGTAAACAATTGTCATTTAAGCATGTATCCTAATTCAAATATGTGTACATTGACGTGCAGGTTGTGGCGACCAAACCTTTGGACAAAATTGTGAAGAAACATGTCACTGTCTACAGGGATCATGTGACGCTGCCAATGGAACTTGTATATATGAAGGATGTGAGCCAGGATGGCAAACGGAATCCTGCAGTATAGGTAAGGATAAAAGACTGATCATTTTAATTCTTAACAATCTCAAATATTTTCACGTATAACATTTTAAACAAACATCACAACACTCCTTTTTTCAGTTACCCTATTACTGCTGATAGCCTTAATTGTACAAAGAGAGATGACTTATATAACGATCAGCACTTAACGACTGTTAATGCTTGACCTCGCCTTAAGTAATGACCTGATGGAAGGACGACAGTCAGTCATCAAATAACTTTTTAGGTTATTGCTATCTATTTTTACAGTTACAAAGAAATGTGCAAAATTGTCTTGATTTAAGGTAACACAAAACATATCAACATTGGCAGCTGAACTACCACCCATTCTGTCATAGTCACATAATTTCTGTCTCTGATATATATAATGAGTATGCTCTTGGTCTTACATTGAATTGTTTATCTTCCATCTGTCCAGAATGTGACAAAGGCAGGTTTGGCCATGATTGTAACCTTACATGCGGAGCGTGTAGACACAATGCTCCGTGCGATCACGTGACTGGAAAATGTCCTAACGGTTGCTCGGATGGATGGACCACATCCTTCTGTGATGAGTGTAAGTAAAGTAATATATAAATAGGTAGTTACAGAGGTCTCCAAAAGAGGAAACATAAAACCAACTGGTATGACAAATATTGAGTTATCCGAAACAAAACCTACGATCCTAACGCAAAAAAACCTTTTCTCTGTAAAACGAAATATATTATTTTGGTTTGTAAGATAACATATGGAACTTATTGAAATAAAGGATCGACATTGCTCCTTGAACAGAAGTTAACTTGTCATAGCCAAAGGCTATGGACGCAATTTGATCAGCGTCATGTTGAAGCTTCTCCCGCCTCGAATAATGTACGAGACAAGCGTTTGAACAAAACATTTTGTTGGCGTTAGGCATTTCCAGGAATTTCGTCCGCACTGATAACACAGACAATTCAATATCGAAGATATAAGGAAATACCTATATTTTGATCAATAATAACTATATAATTTAGAATTCAAATGTATGTCTTGAACAGCATTTTTCATTATCACGCCGGTAGGAACGTAAATCCGTTACATAAACATTTACCAAGAAGTCGTATCGGCTTTATGGAATATATGTATGAAACCGATTTGCGTTCATACCGGCATTTACATTGGGGGGGGGGGGGGAATTATTATTATAATATGAATTATTATATTGGCAGTCAAATCAGATGATGTATGTAATACTAGGCCGTTCTTATGTTTGTAATATTGGTTAATTGAATGTAGTTGATTTCTGACAGCTTGCCCGATCGGAACATTTGGAATCAACTGTACAGGAGAATGTTTTTGTAAGAATGGCACGTGTGACCCAACAAACGGTGTCTGTCCAGGCAACGCGTGTGATAGAGGCTGGAACGGACCTTCATGTAGTTCTCGTGAGTACACCAGTGAACGTTAACCTACCAAACCATCTACTAAGTTCTATTCAAAATTGTAACTTTGATATAGTTATTAACTATGGCTACCTTAAAATAACCCGTCTCATAACAGTATTGGATACAGATTTAAAATCAGCGTGCCCATTTATTCCTCTTCTTATTTTTTATTTTGTTGTTGTTATTAGAATGTGACCCTGGGTCCTATGGTTATAACTGTAAGCAGAGCTGTAATTGTCAGACAGAGTCGTGTAACAGGACGACAGGGCAGTGTCCACCGGGTGGTAGTAAGGACGGATGGAGGACGGACAATTGTAGCCAGAGTAAGTAATATTTTCTCTTCCGTGTTTGATAACCCCACCCCGTCTGTGTATAATATACCGGTTTTTTTCTGAAGCGTTATTTTACATCCGGGTTTTTATGGGAGGTTCATAATGTTCTTCAAATTGCCTTTTTCCTGGACACTATAGTTTATAGTACTCTACAGTCACCGTACCCGAAAACAGGACAGATTTTAGTAAAATATTAATGTATTATATACCATAGTATCAATTCCAAAAACGTTTGTTCAGTTTTCATAAATATATACCATCCATCATTCTTTTCTACATGTACAGAAGAATGGTCTGGAGACACTTGTAGTCAAGGTAATGATCCACGCATTAGCATGAAAATAGTAGAAGGTTCATATCATTATCATAATCATTACGAGAGTCGTTTGTATAATGAAGTAATTGATACGTCTTTTTCTTTAAGACAGAAACACTCAGTGATTAAAGAAAATGTGAAACCTGAATTACATTTTTATGAGAGTAATTGAGACATGAATTTAAAAATATTGGTCATATATAGAAAAAGTACGTACAAATCCTGTCATCTTTCAAAAGAAAGTTTATCGTTTACGAATTATCTTTGATGCGATAAAATAAAGTTAATGAAGTGTTATGGGTATACTCTGGTAGAATATATCACTTGCATTCAAAAATATAGCATACATTTCTAAAAATCAGACTTCAGGATTTCGTTATCTTTTTCCACACTATTTTTACAACCTTAAAGGTGGTTACTGTAATGCAAAGATTATATCGTCCATCGTTGTACTTTTCATATTCAACTTTTGATACTATCCTTTAAGCGACATCACGGTGAAGTAATTTTTTCAATTACTTTTTTTTCCAATATTGCATGAATATATTAAGTGCGTCTCCTCATGGAAAAGGATAGTTGGATTTCGTAGATGCATATTCCTAAAAATGTATAATTACTAAAAGAATAGGGGATCTCCTCCTCCTGTCCAGCCAACATTCTATAAGGTATTTAGATTGCGTCATTCTAATAAAGCATGCGCGTAACACATCAGTGTAAACAAAATGACCTGCATTGGAATGAGTTACCATAATTAGGATAAATAACATATTACAGAAATTACATAAGGGAAGCATTATTGCAGATGGGGAGTTTATAAACTGCCCTAGCGATCGGAACCCTAAACGTATTCTTCTGGATAGCCGGTAGGAAGTTGAATACAGCTAACGTTGAATCGAGCGCAATACTGTTTGTGTTGTGAATAAGTATTCAAAAACATTAAATGGCTAGTACCTTTGTCTTTTCAACACCAATGAATGTATCGGTTTGAATTCGCAATGTATTGTATTTCCATAGAGCTGATGAGGTTAAAAGAGCTATTAGGTCGTTGAAAAATAACTAAACGTGCTCTGATGACAATATTATGAATGAATATACATGTATCAAACATTCTGTTACGAAAATGACTGATTTGTATGGCAAAGTGTTTAATATTATTTTCAATAGTTGGAAATTCCCAGCAAAATGGCTGACCGGTACTATTGTTCCTATTTAAAAAAATAAAGGTTCACCTATGGAACCTAAAAATTATAGACCAATTACGATTGTTAGTTGTTTAGGGAAGTTGTTCACTAGTATATTAAATGAAAGGCTACAGAAATACTCAGAGGATGTCAGCTTGATATGTGAAAATCAGACAGGGATTCGTAAAATGTATTGAATTATTGATAACATTTTTGTACTTTACTCTTTGATAAATTTGACTCAAATGATGAAAAGTAAATAATATTGTGTATTTTTTTTACTTTGAAAAAGCCTTCGATAAAGTATGGCGCAATGGTTTGTGGAACAAGATGTTAATGAGTGGAATTAATGGGGAAATGTTAACAATTATTTTTAACATGTATCAAGGCATTAAGTAAAATATAACTTTTAATGGTGAATGTTCTGGTTATTTTCCATGTGAAAATGGTTTGAGACAAGGAGAAAACCTATCTCCCTTTTCATTTAGTCTGTACTTGAACGATCTCGAAGAGTGTATGGTCCGAAATAACGTTCAGGGTTTGAAAAACATTAGTACTAAATTAGAAAATGATTAACATGTTTACATAAAGCTTTTTATTTTACTCTATGCTGATGATACACTTCTTTTCTCAGACTGTCCAGATGACTTGCAACTACAATTAAATGTATTCAGTGAATACTGTAAACAGTGGAAATTAAAGGTTGATAATGAAAAAAAATGTATAGTATGTAGTAAAGGACGTAAAAACAATAGAAATGTATTTCTTTTTAATAATGAGGTGATAGAGTTAATGGACAATTTTACCTGTATGGGTACGGCATTTAGTCGTACTGGTTCATTCAATGAAACGAAAAAATACAATATTAAAAGGACTACTATATACTGTATGACGTTATAAAGAAAGGTAGACTACATAACTTATCAGTTCATTGTATACATGATTTATGTGACAAGATTTTAAAACCCATACTGTTGTATGGTTGTGAAGTTTGGAGTCTCACTGACCTTAAGGTAATTGAACGTGTACATTTAAAGTTTTGTAAATTATTACTAGGGTTAAAAAGTAGCACCCCTACTTAAATGGTATATGGAGAACTAGGTACTACCCTACTTGAAATAACAGTAAAAACAAAAATAATAACATTTTGGTCACAATTGACTCATTCTAAAGAAAATACAATTAATATTATATTGTATAAACTTCTTTGCCATCACCATAATGTTGATGATAAACCGGTTCCATATATTAGCTTTATTAAACGTATTTTAAATGAATGTGGTATGAGTTACTTATGGAAAGTTCAAAATACTTCAGAATGTTATACCATATGGCTAAAGTTTGTTATTAAACAAAGATTGCACGACCAGTATTTACAGAAATGGCAAAGTGATGTACACACTTCATCAAAAGTTACATGTTACAGGATTTTTAAAAATAATTGTCATTTTGAAAATTACTTAGATATTTTAAGTGATACACATAGAGTTACATTTTGTAAATTTAAGACTACCAATCACAAATTTTTGTTGAAACCGGCAGATGGCATGATATAGAGTACAATGAAAGAAAATGTCCACACTGTAACAGTCAGCAAATTGGTGATGAATTCCATTACTTGCTTGAGTGTCCGTCACTGTCTGGGTATCGAATTTTATATATAGATAAATATTTTTCGACGAGATCAAATGTAATTAAGTTCTATGAATTAATGAATACTACTAATATAAAAATACTGAAGAAACTTTGTACTTTTATCAGAATAATTAATAACAATATTTGACATCCTCGATACAAATGTGCATTTATTATGAAACAGTACTGTGTACTACCGAATACGAACACTACAATTAATATATATTATATTGTTAATATGTTTCTCTATACGTTGTATTGTAAAAGAGAATAAAGTTGAATTGATAAATTGGTTGATGCGAAGGGAATAGATGAATTAGGCTACTAGTTAGTGTGATTTTGCGTTGGGGCCCTCCGTGGGATAATTTTGTGATGTTATACCACATGGAATTCGATGGTCTAAGCTAATTCCATTGTTATACAGTGTGGCCATTTAAAGGACTCACACAACTAAATCAGTCAATCAGTAAGTGTTATCCCTACATGTACCTAAAATGTGTTCCGGTTTAAAACAGTGTCTCTGAGTAATTTAAATAGGTAATTGTTGAAATATTTTATATGGAATGAAATCTACAAATATTTAACTTGATAAAAACGTACAGTTTCAGTAGATTTTAATATGTAATGGCGGATTGATATGGGTCAAATGTCAGGGGGTGTTCCCGTCCCACTTCAGCAGTTAGGTTTGTAAACTTCCGGTTGTCAAAAGCAGACATATATTGCGCTCTTAGATGCTACTAAACCCGCCAAAAATGTCTTTTGAAGCCTTTGTCAGGAATGTATCAATAATCTATATAGTTGTCACTAGTGTTGAACTTAAAATATTAACGCTTTTAGCTAAAAAACCTAGTAATAACATATAGTAAAACATTTAGCTGTTTGAGTCCTTTAACGATGACATACCAGTTTATTGATATGGATAATTGTATTATTTAAAAGAAAATGTTCACATGAACGATGTAATAATATCAAAATTACGGTCAAAGATGATAATACCTGAGAAAGAAGAACCCAATATCGGTCCTGTTTCATATGTAACAAAAATATTTTCGAATCTTTATTTTGTCATAAAACAATTCATGTTTTAACGCGATGCAGACTTAGAATTTGTAGCCATGTAACAATTCAATCTATACAACCTATGTAAAAGTGAAAAAAGTAACTTGTTCCCGTTGTAAAAAGGGCGCGTGCGGCCGAAGATTGTGCCTCTAGGAATAAAGTCGGACAATGGCACCTATTGTTAGGGCTTTTCACCAACTAGTGAAAAGACCCAAAAAAGGTCAAATAAAAATCCTCGCTGTTTCCTCTTTTTGAAATCAATGCAGTATGTCATTACGATGCATTTGTAGTACTCAGTTTTTCTATCACGTTTTCTGTTTCCTCTGATCTTTTATAAATGCCGACAATATGTTAAAATATTTTTTCTCAAATATCTGTGAGATATTTTTTCCAATTATTCATCCCAAAAGTTTCCCCAGATAGTGTTTCGAATTTGGTCAGGTTCTTGACATCTTTGAAAAAACAAAATGGCCGCCATAACGTCACATCTGTTTTTACCTTAATGACCATTACTCATTAATGGGTGAACATATTAAATTTATCTTTAGATATGTTTTTAACAATAACCAAAGAAAACGTTTTCACTGGAAACATTTTTGTGTAAAACGTCAACTTCTAGTTTTCGGCAGGGGTCAAATTTCAAAAGTGCTATTTTGGGTTACATATTTAAAAAATCTTCTTATTAACTTCTACAAGGTCTTTGGTCTTTTTTTTATATCTTTATTTTTTTGAAGATTTTTTTAACAGTACATCATACATTTACAATTCATTTTTCCATACAACATACACATACTCATTCCATTTCTAGTCATTAGCAAAAATTCAACACTATATTAAAGATACCTAAAAAAAATATGTTCTATGTAGTTAATAGTGTAACTGCATATAATTGTGATATGTACTGTTTTTAAGAAAGAAAAGAATGAGAGATAGAAGAATGAAAGGAAGAATAGAACATAGAGAAAGAGAACTTGAATAAGAGGAAGAAGAGGTACATGCTGACATGACAAAGGACTTTGATGTATTTATTAAAAGAAATAAGCCGTTCATGAGTAAAGTCTCTCATTATTGTTATTTTTATTGTAATATTATATTAATATTAATATTGCCAGGGACTTTGACCAGTTTTTGTATCAACTATATTTCCATACACATATGTATTGTAAATATTTGTAGAATATAGATATCATTATAGAGGATATAAAAATATGGCACTGATAGTTAATCATACTAAGATTCACCCAACTTGAGACTGAATCATAGTTTATGATTCTGAACCATGTTAAGGTAAAGTACACCACAGTCCAGACATAGATTATTGTATAAAAAGTAAATGTATAAAAAAAAACTGAGAAAATGTTCAATAAGGAACAATGCTACTTAAGAGACTACAAGTCATAATAGCAGGAGTTACCAAGTTTTGTTGAGAGCAAAATCAAGCAAGACTGAAGCAACGAGATAACAAAGGGCAATAACTCTTACAGAAAAACACAACTTCCTATCATATTCATTAAGTTTACCAAGTTAAGATATCAGTTACAATATAAGAAGTGATCATCAGGCAAACATGTCTATGCAGTAGACAGACATGGAAATCGCATATCTCTTATAATTTTAAACAGAGAATAAAATATCTAAGTATTTTTATATTCTATGTAGAGACCAGTAATCTTTCCCATTTTTTTTCCATTCATTCTTAAAGATGGTAAGATAATTTTCTCCTTTACCAGTAGCTATATATTTTTGAGTGTGATATGTTTCTTTAATACAGTTTTTTCAAAGCTGATAAAGACATGCTCTTTTCCTTGTATTTTGTGTTATACAATTATTGCTTCATAAATAAAATAATTAAGTTATCAACATTGTTTTTTCCCTCATAAAATCCAAAGATAATAGACTCTTTGTTGAAAGTAATGGGAATGAATAATAAATCTAACAAAAATTCAAAATTTGTCAAAAACAATTGTACTTTTTCACATTCCCATAATGCATGAACTATCGTTTCATTTTAAGTATTACAACGACCGCAGAGTGGACTATCGACTAGGCTTATTTTATAAAGATATGAATTTGTAGTTAGAATATATTGATGTATTCTAAGTTGAAGCCATTGTAATTTTGTATTTTTCAAATTTTGAATGGTGTTAAATATATTTTCCACCATATTTGTTAATCAAAATCAAGCATTGCTTCCCATTTCTTTTTCCCAGTAGATGTTGTGTTATTTTGACACAAACAGTTGTAAAAATCTTTTACTCCCTTTTTGTGTTTGAAAAAGAATTCTAACTTGGTAGGTATTTATGGCCGTTTTATAGTTTTATAGAAATGTCTTTTTTAGAATAGTTCTTTTTTATTGCGTTTATGACACCGAATATTAAATTATTCTATGAATCTGGATGGTTGTAAAAAAATCCGTTGCTATTTTCTTTAACGATGACACAAATTGTTTCCGAGTCCAGTCAATTGGTATTTTTCATTTCATCAAATTTTATTCACAAGGATGGTATATTGTCAAAGGGATTGGGCAACAGGCACAGCCTATGTAAGCCCTCTCCATTTTTTATAATTTTATTGTCCCAAAACATCTTTTTGGAATACTGCCATGGTTGGGACCCTGGTTTCAGTCTCTTTACAAAAATTGTCCTCATGCAAGAGGGCTCTTATTTTCTATCGTTACTAAACTGTTGTACCAAATGGGTGTTTTGAGAGCATTATTATTCTTATTCACAAAACATTCTGTTTTCTTGGAAAGCTTACTCCAACTTAATAGAACATCTTTCCAAAATAAGTTTTTACAAGAGTTTTAGCATTTTAAAATGTAATCTGTACCACAATTTGCAAAAAATATCTGTATTTCCAAAAGTTTAAAAAATTGATTGCCATTTCCCTTTACTTGTAAACAGCCGTCGAATCCGTGTAAGCTTTAACGATTCAATAAAAGATTGTAACTGTATCATTTTCAGGCCCCCTTCATTATAGTTCTTAATAATTACATCTCTTTTTATTCTGTCTGATGAGCTGTTCCATAGGAAATTATTTATTTCTGTATTTAGTTTCTTACTAAATGTATCACCAAGATTTGGCAAAGTAATAAAACGATGATTAAACTGAGATATGAGGAGGGACTTAATTATATGGATTCTTCCTATAGGTGTCAAAATCCTTCTTCTCCATATCTTAATTAATGACTTTAGTTTTACTATTTTTTTGTCGTAATTTATTTAGGAATTTGATGCAAATCCAGATTAAATTCAATGACTAAAACTGTGAATCTTGTAACTGCCCACTGTAGATCCCATTCTTGAAAGTATATGACTCTACTATATTTTTTACTACCTATCCATTTTACTTGAGTTTTGCTTTTATTTGCCTTTAGCCCAGAAATCTGTGTAATGCACAAATGCACAATATCTTGATTTCTCTCGGGCTGATTACACTCTGACTTTATCCAGTGCTTCCTCAAAGAAGGTGCCTGCTTCGGATAATTTTCCAGGCCCGGGGGTTAGGTCTCTATCACTGTTACTATATGAATAGAAAATCAGTTTATAAAATGCACTACTTATATTTTGAGTTCTGTTGGGCTGATTACACTCAAGACTTTATCCAGTGCTTTTATAAAAGAAAACACTTGCGTCCACACTAGTGTTTGCTTCATGTATACCTAACCACAGTTTCTTTTAAATCTTCAATAAACATAATTATGGAGAATAGTCACGGCGGCATTTATATATATATATATATATAAATCTTATTACCGGTTAGCTTGTAATAATAATAATAATAATATACAACATTTGATATAGCGCCCTATCTAGCTAACCTAAGCTACTCTAAAGCGCTTTACACTACATAGATATATAATTAATACAATCAATACAATTAGCATATACATTGTACATTAATCAGTACAATTTTGAGGAATTAGCAGGAGCTGTCCTATCAGGCGCTAACTACTAGTCCTATGCCACCTGGCTGATATTTCCTTATGTGTGTATGCCTGCGTGCGTGCTGGTAATGTATTGTGTTCTGTTTGTAGTGGGACCGTACTTCCAACGGTATCATTTATAGTTCCACCTCACTTAAATGCAACAGCACAGATACCGCAACATCCACCCAAGACCATTTTATACGCCACCTGGGTTGTTGGAGTTGTGTGGGCAGGAGAAAATTACTTTCTCTGAACATTCCATGCGTACGATTTAGCAATTTTAATTAAAATTTCGGTTGTGTTGACATGTCGGTATTTTTTTGATGTTTTGGTGTAGTATTCATTGTAGATCAATATGGCTCCTACTGTAAACGGATAGTATTTTTAGATTATTTAACACATAATGTGAATTCACATCTTTCGTTATTTATATAATATATAAAGTTGTCAATTTTTTTGGCGCGACACAGCAAAGAACAAGGGACACTTACACTGCATTGGAATAAAACAGAAATATACGGTAATAGAATATAATGTAAATAATGTCAAAATACAATAAACCCGTCGGCTAGCGTAACCCAAAGGCAGAATTTACACTGACCGCATAATTGACCAAGAATACTGTTTGTGTGCAATACACGACAAAGTTATTTAATTATTGTTTGTTGTTGATTGACTTTATATGTTGTTCATTAATTTTTCATTGTTATTTTTATTTAATTATGTGAATTAGAACATCAATATGAGGTTAATGGAAGCCAAGACAGCCTTGCAGTAAGTACAATTAGGACAGAATCATAGCTACAAAGTATGAATATACAGGGAATTTATTGAAAACGAAAAAAATCAGTAATTTTTTTATATTTCAAATATTTGAATAATAAACATACTTGTCGCTCATTTTAATGCAACATTCAAATAATCAATGTTCATTATATTACCTTTCACAATTATAAAATTAAGTGTCGTAACTATCTTACTTTATTTACAGAATACTAAATGCATTATCGGATACGCTATACTTGGGACTGTTCTAGCCATATCCGTTTTCTACAACATTGGCTTGACTGTGTTTTGTCTAAGACAATCGTAAGTACATGTTAAATACGACAAGCCATATATGTACTGATTTAAAGTGAATAAACTAAATACGAGTTTTTTGCACTAAACACTGTCATTGTACTGATCAACATGTAAAATCTATTCATCGAAGCTAATTCTATTTAACAGCAGGAGGATTAAAACGCCCCCTAAATCGGCAACAGCCCATGAAATGCAGCCAATCAGTAAGTTGAACCACATATCTGAAACACTTATCTATTGATATGAAAGATGTGAAACAAAAAATATAAAAAAAGAAGAAGAAAATAAATTAGATTTTATCATTATTGATTAAATATCAGATACAGGAATGGGTAAACATAAATTGTTTTCAAATTGTGTTCTTTTTATTTTCAGGTGTGTCACAGGACAATTCGAACTATGATGGTTTAGACACAACAAAAGTAGATAACGTTAAAAACATTTATGAAACAATCGGGAAGTAAAGAAGAATCCGTAGCGTCTTTAACTAGTGAAAACGATGCAAAAAGACGCATGACAAAGAATGACATGATGATTCTATTATTGTATTACATAAAGCAGTATGCATTCAAATCGAATCTAAACTGATTGTAAAAAACACTAAAAAATCTTTATGCCAACAGTCATTTAGCTAATGCGATGTAAATTGCATGTCCCTGCAGGTTTGGAAAACCTAGACCTGCTGTATCACACTGCATGTCGTAAAGCTGACAAATGTAGGAGGCACGGTAGTCTAGTGGTAGGAGGCCAGGCTCGTGACCGAAGGGTTGCGGGTTCGAGTCACGGCACGGCACTGTGTTGTATCTTATACTTTACTCCGCTTGTTCCTGTCTACTCAGCTGTAAATGAGTACTTCGCTGGGCAGTGCCAGAATTGTTGAATGCTAGCTGTCAGCGCCCAAATGGCAACTCCGGCTGTATGCTCCCCAGGGAGTTGAGAAAGATATTAGCTGGTTGCAAAGGCCAAATAACCACGGATAATAATTTGTGAACCGCTTTGAGACGACCTAAGAACTAGGTTGTGATAAAGCGATAAATAAGAACCTCGAGTTATTATTATTATTAATGTGGGGCCCGTGCAAAATCGTTGGTTTCCTCGGTGTCTTCTGCTTCATACTTCGCACACCCATTGCCTTGTTTTCTCTTCTTTAAAACATCCTAAAAACCTTTTAGCCTAAGTACTTTGCTAATGCTAAAATGGGTTAGGCAATTTGTTTTGTTCCCAAGGACGGGGCATACCAAGGTCTTTAAAATGGTATATGTGATTCCCTGCTTAACCTGCAGCATTTAGGGTATTCGCAACAACTAGTTCACTCGTTGTCAGTATAATCCGACTTGAAGGAGTATTGTGCTGGATGCCTTCGACATACTATTTCAGTTACAATGTAGGTACATGTAGCAGTCTAATTCGGAATCAGTCCAACATACCCTACCTCCAGTACACATACACACATGAAAGCACGTCCTTTAGTGGTATTAGCTGTTAGTAGAACGTTGAACTTAACAAACAACTCGAACATACCAATGATTAAGACATCACACAATCCAAAAATGCACATACCTGTGTTACAAATATAAATCCCAAATACACACTTTACTATCAACGAATACCACAGCTAACGTAAAAACATTTGCATAATATTACAATCATGTGAGTTTCTGGTTTATCCATTCAGTTGGAAGGTTATTTTATACCGTTATATTGTCTGTGTTGTCTATATTACTAATGACCAAATTCAATTGAGACTAGTCATTCTACAATCAGTTATGGGTTTTTAACCCTGAGTATTGTACATGAAGATGTCAAATCTAACACTCCCTGAATATAACTAGATTCTCAATTAAATATTCTATGTCAGAGATGTCTTGTGAAAATCCATACAAATTATAATGCTGATTGGGAAGTGCGTTCGCCGTAAATGAAGGCAAACCAAGTCTTGCTCAGTATCATGGTTGGTTGGTTTGGTTGGTTGGTTGAAGGGTTTTGCGCCTACATGAATCCGCCCTTACGGGTTTCATCTCAGTATCATGTTTGTAGCGTTATTTATATAGTACCAGACTTTCCATGCTGTGTCTATTCATGTCGATCATGTATTACTTGTAACAGATTATGAATAAGTTTATTGTTGTTTATACCTTCTTACAGTAGGTATTACTTATTTACTCTTCTGTTATTTGTTCCATTTATGTGTATTACTTTGCTATATTCTATGTCCACACAGTCCACAGTCGAATCACAAATATTGTTAGTATTATTGATGCGTCCTTAAGTTTACCACTATGTTGTCTTTCATAATAGTATATGAATATCAGAACTATATTTATTGGGACACATCTATTATATGAGGTATTATATCATAATGTATAACAGCGTGACCATTCGAGTATCTGCATGTACAAAAGCATACCCTGGCTATTACAGTACATATTGTTGACACAAACACATTTTTGTAAATCACGGGTTTTCAAACTGAATAAAACATCGAATATCTGATATGTACCATTCAAAACTGATAATTCTTTGTAATGATATTGAACCTAACCCATGACCCGAATGTGACATAGAAATATCACATATTAAAATAAGATCTTTAAGAACCAAAATTGATAATATCGTAATATTTTGTAATAACAAAAATATATTGTTGGGATATAGACCTCTGACTGTATTTGTCAAACTAATAGATTCGATATGTAATCTCATTCACAACCAATCTTAACATTGAAAGTGATGTTAATATTTACAGTGTCACTTTACATATAAATATCAATACTGATGTATAAATAAATATATATATGCGTATCTAATATCTCCACAAAATATCTGATATTCTGACTGGACTGGATCGAAATTATGATTATTTATTCTTTATCCTGTTCTAATTATTCTATAGATGCATGGTCATTCTATAGTGATTTGTTATTTAAGGAATCAATCAACTCCAATAAATTGATAAAAAAAATAACTAAAGCATTCCCATGACTCAATTATATTCTCAAATATTACCCAGTGAGTGAATAGCCAATGCTATTATATAAGTGGACGTTATGTGGGATGGGTTGTCAACAATTTTCCATGATTCACTTAATAGTGAATATCCAAACCGTAAACAGATATGATTGAATAGTAAAAGATAGTTGTTTCATAACCCCCCTCTGGGCCTCTTGTTCTATAAGTCTCCTTCTTTTGCTATATTTACGTATGTGAGCTAATTTCAAAATAGTGTTTGTGTAAAGTTAAAAGAACTCTTCAGTACGAAAGGAGACATTTCATATTTATTTGTTTCTGCCAAAATGTGAATAAAATGAAAGAAGAAAAAAAAGTGTTTGTTTTCTGGTATTTACATGAAAAGAAATATCGAATGAAGAACTTAAAACGACCGTTGTGATATTGAAAGTACAACGTGTTATTATTATTGTCATATATACGTGGTTTATTTCAAACCGCTATAAAAAAAAGTTGAAAAACATGAGTAAAATAACCGTTAATTTTTGTTCGCTTCATTTGATGCAACACTGTATATGAAATATGATCAAATAAAAACAAATCATTTTCTATGCCACTTACATATAATTAGTTTATTATCTACGTTCTTAAAACGTTTTTAAGCACAGAACCTTAATCAAGGTCATTTATAATGTATAGTAGGTACATGCATCGTTTTCTGTAAAATCTCTAAAAAGTTATTAAAACCTTCACATCGACTAACTGAGGGCCTGGCTGAAACGTAACTGACGAAGGCTCGAATCAAAACTAAAACGACGTTTGAGAGTAGATAATTAATTAACAATACTTTTGTTATTCTACTCCAGAGGTGAAGTTAACCACGCTCCTACTATAGCACCTGTGACTCGATATCACAGGTATTATCTATTACCGTCTTACCACTTTGACAGGATTTGTTTTATTTTTCCTCACGTCGAACGTGACGTGACCGCACGCTATGATGATGTATCCCGCAAATGCACTGCAATATAAAAAAAAAACTGATACAAAGGTAACAGTCATACTATCAACCTACCAGACTACAGAAAAATTCCAATGACAATAAAGAGCTTTAGATAAGTAAACATATGACCGCTTACAGTGCTGTCTTCCTGGTCCCTATCTACTGTATAACATATATTGCAAGTAATTGACTTCCGCGTAAAAAGGTAACAGTATTTAGGAGAAACATATTCTCTTGTCAAATCACCTAAAGAACAGGATGGAATAAGTCAATTCGAAATAATTGGACATTTCATGGCTTTTTTTTTCATGCTCTGTAACTCTGTTATTATAATATATCCAATACCAAAAATGATACACGAGACACATTGTATTAAAGCAGGAGCACGCATGTTTCCCCTCTGTTGTACATTGTATACACATATACCAGCCTCCCCTCCTCAGAAGTAACATTTGTCCAGCTTTCTCAAAAATAATATTATAGCTCTGAAGTAAAACAAGGGTAAGACAACCTGATAATTAGCCAAATGGTTGGATTTCTCTGTTACATCCTGAAAGTTGGTGATGATTATTTTTCTCCGGTCTTATTATTTAAGTCAGTCACGACTGCGTTTATAGTAGTCTGGCACACGTTATTTGCGTTTGACGGTTGTGACGTCATCAGCTTTTATTCATCTGACGTCATCATACCCTTTATTTTGACGTGCCATCTAACATGTCTTAGCGCATTAAAGACATATTATACCGAAAGGATTAAATGTTTAACATGTAAAACGTGAGACAATTTATTGAGGAAGGGAGAACAGATTTAGACTGGTAATACCTTGATTGAATGGCAGAGAAATCTTCAAACTAACAGATACATTTTGTGGTTGACTAACACGAAGCTCCTCCAGTGTCCCCCTCTTCAGCTACGTGCAAGCTTTCCCTCATAAATAGTTATATACCAGTCACCCCTTCTCAGAAATCAAATACCTTTTTTCCCTCTCGCGTAGTTACATTCCAACCTCCCCTAATCAGGAGCTACATATCAACCTCCCTTCCCTAGTAGAAACATTACAATATCTTGTTCTCGATACCAGTCTCCACTTATAAGTAGTACTGAAACATGCTCGGTAGCTATATTCCAGTCAACCCTAGTAATAGCAAACAGGCCTCCACACCTCAGCAGTAAGTAACATACCAGTCTCCTCTCATCAGTAGTAACAAACTAGTATCCACTCCTCAGTAGAAACATGTAATATGTCAGCCTTCCCTCCTTAGTAGCAACATACAAACCTCCCTACCTCAGTAGTAACCTACTAGTCATACCCCCTCTGTAGTAGCCTACTAGTCATTCCTCCTTAGTAGTAACCTACTAGTCATTCCTCCTCAGTAGTAACATACTAGCCATTCCTCCTCAGTAGTAACATACCAGTCATTCCTCCTCAGTAGTAACCTACTAGTCATTCCTCCTCAGCAGTAATCTACTAGTCATTCCTCCTCAGTAGTAACATACCACCCTTTCCTCCTCAGTAGTGACATACTAGTCTTCCCTCCTAAGAAGTAACACACCAGTCTCCCCACCTCAGTCGTAGTATATCAGTCCCCCCCCCCCCCTTCTAAGTAGAAACATACCCGTGTTTAGGTGGGGTTTTTTTTCATTTCAAAATATTTGATTAAATCAAGTGATTTAATGGGAAATGGGCAACAGGCTATGCATATACAAGCCCTCTCCCTTGGGTTACATACATTTCAAACAATAACAGAATATAATTTAACATATTTGCACTGGCTTGGAATATTAAAAAGTATTTTTTTAATAGATATTTATAGGTCAAATAGATGGCTGCTAAAATA